TAGAAAGAAAAGTGGGCATTCAGATGACAGTGATGAAGAGGTATAGTTTCTTTTCCTCATTGCTAAATTCCAATTTCTTTCTTTCTTCATTCTAAAGCTGTGAACAACATTGTAGGTGCCTGTTAGAGAGGACAGTAGACACGTTAGAAGGAAGGTTTCTGAAGACGAGGATGATGGTTCTGAGGTATATCAGGTTTTATTTCGATCCGAATCTCAATTTTTAGTCAAGACTAAACCTAAAGTTAAAGGCTTTGTGCTTTGCCACATGATTGTTATTGGTAAAGTTTAAACTTTTGGAATGTTATTAGTGCATTGACTCGTCGTAATGTTAGTGTGTTTCTGAGTTTTAGACTATGTTCAGAGAAGTCACTGAGATTTGTTAAGCTAACAAACCGAATATTGCATTTTTAATAAGCTTTGATTAATAACACAGTTTTTGTTTTTGAAACTAACTCTTTTAATTTTTCAGCTTGTTTGCTTAGCGGATCTTGAGTTTGATTACATCAACCCTTACGACTCTGCATCGAGGATAAACTCAGTGGTATTACCAGAGTTCATTGTCCAAGGAGTTCTATGTGTCTTCTATCTCATTACAGGACACTGGTTCATGGCACTCCTATGCCTCCCTTATCTCTACTACAACTTCCAACTGTAAGTGAAGTCTCTCTCTCTTTTCACAACTTACAGTATCTCCAATCAATATTGTGCTGATGTGGCTTCATTTCTCTAATTTTGTTCAGCTACTCGAAGCGACAACACTTGGTAGATGTAACAGAGATATTCAATCTGCTTAATCGGGAATAATTTAACATCTCTTTTCTTAGCTCTTCTTCATTTTAGATAAAGTCAAAGCTAAAACACTTTCTGTCTGCAATTTTTTTTGTAGGATGATCTATTCAGCGCTGGATGATCACGATGATTGATTGATCCATTAATCTTCTTTGGTCTCTTTTCCATATCTAATTAACACCGCGCTTGAAGAGACAGCGCTGTGCTTGTGGACATGAGTTAATGGAAAAGAAACAAAGTGTTTGTTGTTGATACCAGTTTGTAAGATTAGTTTATTTTTTCTTTGTTTGTTTACGATCAATTTTTTTTTCTTTCTTATACAAACGTTTTTCAGACATGAAGTCGGAGAAGTTCAAAGTTTTGTTGTCTCATTAAACCAGAGTAAAATCAAAAAGTAATTTAACCAGATACAACTGCACATGTAAACCAATCGGTTAAGGTAAACCAAATATGCATTTAGTTGATATTTAATAGGAAAAAAGTTTCTCAGCTACACGAAGTTTACATTAATATGGTGGAAACCATCTAATGTATAAAAATGTGTCAAGAACTACACGAAATATATGTTAATACATGCCACATGTACGAAGTAAATGATATTATGGTGGCAACATCACAATCGGATTTAATTATTCTTAAGCTAAGTTAATGGGGTTAATCCGTAATTTATGAAACTTAATAAACTTAATTGATTTTAATTATTAAAGTTAATAAAATTAATAAACTTAATAAACATAATATTTTAAAAAACTTAATAAAATTAATAAACTTAATAAACTTAATATTTTTTTGTTAAACTTAATAAATTTATTAAACTTAATAAAATTATTAAACTTAATAAAATTATTAAACTTCATAAACTTAATAAACTTAACAAACTTAATAACTTATNATAAGTTATTAAGTTTGTTAAGTTTATTAAGTTTATGAAGTTAATAATTTTATTAAGTTTAATAAATTTATTAAGTTTAATAAATTTATTAAGTTTAATAAATTTATTAAGTTTAACAAAAAATATTAAGTTTATTAATTTTCTTAAGTTTTAAAAATATTATGTTTATTAAGTTTATTAATTTTATTAACTTTAATAATTAAAATAAATTAAGTTTATTAAGTTTCATAAATTACGGATTGACCTCATTAATTTAGCTTAAGAACAATTAAATCCGATTGTGATGTTGCCACCATAATATCATTTACTTTGTACATGTGGCATGTATTAACATATACTTCGTGTAGTTCTTGACACATTTTTATACATTGGATGGTTTCCACCATATTAGTGTAAACTTCGTGTAGCTGAGAAACTTTATTTCCTAATTAGTTAATTCGGAAATATGATGATTACCTTATTTTGCTATCAATTACCTTGGACAAATTTATATGATGATGGTGATTTGAGTTAGAAAAGCCTAAAACTGTTATCCATTTAGAAAACCACAAATATAATGGTGATTTGAGATTTAGAAAATCCAAAACTATTATCTTAATTATATTTATATATATATATATATATATATATAAATATGGATCTTAAAAATGTGATTTACTATATATATACATTTGATTTACTATAAACGTTAAACTTTACTAATTTTTTTTTCGTATTTCTTAATTAGATATATTACGGCATGCGAGTCGTCTTGGAGGATTCTTGCTTTTCCTACACATTTCCGCACTACTTCAGTTGACAAACTTGGATTTCATCTTCCGGATCAGAAGCTGGTGTTTTTTGATGAAGATGAACCTATTGAGAGTATTCTCAACAAAAAGACTGTAAACCAATCCATGTTTAACAACCTGGTTCATAGCAAACAAAAAATATCCAGAGGCAAGAGAGTTGACATATGCTGAATTCCCGACTAGATTTGTCTGGAAATCAGGTACGAGAGAATGGGTACCACGGAAACGAGGCTTTGCGATAGGGAGGATTGCGCATATACATCCGTCAGGTGATGAGCTATATTTTTTAAGAGTATTGCTAAATTGGGTTAGAGCTCCGACATCATACGATGATATAAGAACAGTTGATGGTATTTTATATGCAACATACGAAGATGCTTGCTATGCGTTGGGATTGATGGATGATGACAAGGAATTCATTGAAGCTATCAAAGAGGCCACTGACAATAGTTCTGCCACGTATGCCAGGAAGCTTTTTGCGAGAATGTTGGTATCCAAAACGTTATCTCAGCCTCATGTTGTGTGGGAAG